AAACTCGGCGAATCTCACGTTTTTTTTTTTGTTTTTTTTTATGATCGAGTCCCAGGCGTCTCGTAACTGGAAGCCATTTTCCAACTTTGCGATCAATCTCGTAGACCGCACAACGAGATTACATAACAGATAAAATGTTTTAGAGATTGCTAAATAAATAAAGTAAATAAATAATCGGGGAGAAATGTTGCTAGGTCATACATTTTTGCTAAACCAACGTCGGTCAATCGAGAAATTGAAAATTTTTACAGAAATCATTTTTGAGATTTTCTTGCGGAGTAACGTATTCTCGTAAGCGTTTTTTCCTCAAGGTTCTTATTCCTCCTGCAGAATTTTATTCTGCAAAATGTATGTCTCTTTATTGTTACTAGTTGTGCTTTTTTATATAAAATACAATGAGAAAGAGAAAATGTATATGATCTGACTGAAAGGGCGGCGGTCGGCCGATAGGTAGACGACCTGGGGTGGGTTCGCGCGGCATGGAAATTCGACGCGCTAATCGATACGAAATTTCAATTTTCCTTGTTAGAGCCTATTTCCTCCGCCCCTACCAAGAGGCACGACGATTGACGCTTCCGTCCCTTTCATTTGGCGACCACGCACACGATTTTATAATTGACGGGTGAAGCTAATAAATCCCTAATGGAACTTCAAGGTTCCTTAATTCTTCGGGAGACCAGCTTTCTCTTTTAGGAGGCCAGCTTTTTCTCACCGTCTCATAAAATTTAAAAACTAATGACTAATGGCCGAATTTTAGATGCGACTATTGCTGAAGAGTGAGGTTTAGACTATCGAGATGTCGAATAATGAAATTTTTGAAAAAAAATTGCAACTCGCAGCGAAGCTCTTTTATTGTGTAATAAACAGATTGCATTTTAATGCAGATTGCGTTTTGATATTATATGTTTTGCATAAAGGCGTGTATAAATTGTATGAAATATATATAGAAATAAACACAATTATGTACATATTTATTACATATTTCAGTCTCGAAAATTTGTTTATTATGTCGGTTTCAGAATAAACCATTCAATTATGCGGCGCTATTCATGTTTTTTCGCGAGATTGCGATGGCGACTCGTTGATTATACGCTGTAGAAAAAGCCGCTTTGATATTTATCTGGTGAAGGGTTGTCGAAGTGAATTTGTGAATACGCATGGAGTTCTAAAAATAAATAGAAATGACGGAAACTACAGATGACTGTGGGAAAATAGGCCTCTATACCGTGTGCCTGTCAGAAAACAGTAATTTGTTCAATTACTGCCCTAGAACACGCTAAGAGAATAAAGTTTTCCAGGTTTTGTACGGCTAAGTCAAAACTTGCAAAATATTTCTTGCGGATCTTTTCAGCTTTTGAGAAGAGAGATTTCAAGATCTTGAAGGAAGAATATTTCATAATTCGCAGTTTCTTACACGGCTTACGTGGAACGAACCTTTGGTATATAAGAAATCCATCCGCCGGTATATTTATAGTTCCGTATATTTAATTTAACCTACAAAGTCTATCGGGAAGAAAATCAATTTTATAGAAGGAAGAATTATGCCGGCAAAAATGTTACACAATAATCCCTAGTTGCTAACACGCGGACCAGGAAAATTTTTATTTCTCACAGGTGTGCCGCAGCCGCGGGATATACATCTATTTTAAGCAGCAGTTTCGCCGTTTTTTCGTTCTGCCAGTTAAAAACTAACTTTTGCGAAGAATTCAGGCGCGACTTTTATTAAATTACAAGTTCCGCTTCATAAATCCAGGCGGACACAAATCTATGGAAGCATGATCAAATTTCCAGTAGTTTAGATTTGCAGTTGCAAAATATTAAATTTACAATTTTTTCAACTTTCAACTTTTTGAAAGAAGATCCATTTTGCAGGGATCAACAAAATATCAAATCTTCTCTGCCTTGCTTCATTCTTCGATTAAAAACGAACCAAATTTCAAGATAAATTCTTATTTTCTTAACTTGTATAATATATATATATATATATATATATATATATATACGACGA